GCACAGCAGCTGGCTAGACAGATCACATGAAATACTCCATGTGCTATAAGCCGGAAGGGCAGAGGAGACGAAGCAGAAATCAACCCATTAAAATACAATCTCTCCTGAGGCAAAATCTGAGAATTTGCTTTAACTATACAAATCACTTCTCTTGTTTCCTTTCATGATAAAATTTTAATCTGAGACATATAATCCATTTGCCACCAAAGAATGTCAGCCTCTTGAAAAGTCATTATCTTTTTCTGTGCTGGCTTCCCCAGTTTTCATAGGCAAAATACCACAACATCTCCACAGCAGATTATAGAGGATAAAGACCATTTCTGCCAAAAGTAAGAAATGAAAACACACCAGCACTGCAGAAGCTGTCACGATAATTGGGTGGCCTGTGTCGCAGGACTGCAGCTTGGTGGCTCACCCCTGCTGCTACCATCCCTGTCTAGATGTTACCAAGACTTCTCCTAGTTCATAAATGACTAAGTTATTTTCCTAGTCAACCTCGGAAGTCTCAGAGTTGCACAAAAAGCCCCAGATGTGTAGTCCAAAGATGTGGGCTTGTGGACTATTGACCAGCAGTGGAAAATTCTTCAGACCTTTCACATCCCCACTCCGCCTCTGAAATGGGATGTGATCCCTTCCCTCTTCCCTCACACTTTTGTTGTGAGGCTCAAGTAAGATCAAGCACTTTGATAAGTCTGGCTAGGGGTTTATCTATTTTGTTTATTTTCTCAAAGAACCAGTTCTTGGTTTCATTACTTCTTTCTATTGTTTTATTCTTCTCAATTTTATTCATTTCTTCTCTGATCTTTATTATGTCCCTCCTTCTACTGACTTTGGGCCTCATTTGTTCTTTTTCCAGTTTCAGTAATTGTGAATTTAAACTGTTCATTTAGGATTGTTCTTCCTGCTCTAAATAGGCCTGAATTGCTATATACTTTCCTCTTAAAACTGCTTTTGCTGAGTCCCACAGAAGTTGGGGCTTTGTGCTGTTGTTGTCATTTGTTTCTATATATTGCTTGATCTGTTTTAATTTGGTCATTGATCCATTGATTATTTAGGAGCATGTTGTTAAGCCTCCATGTGTTTGTGGGCCTTGTTGTTTTCTTAGCGTAATTTATTTCTAGTTTCATACCTTTGTGATCTGAGAAGTTGGTTGGTGCAATTTCAATCTTTTTAAATTTACTGAGGCTCTTTTTGTGGCCTAGTATGTGGTCTATTCTAGAAAATGTTCCATGTGCACTTGAGAAGAATGTGTATCCTGTTGCTTTTGGGTGTAGAGTTCTATAGATGTCTGTTAGGTCCATCTGTTCTAATGCATTGTTCAGTGCCTCTGTCTCCTTACTTACTTTCTGTCTGGTTGTTCTGTCCTTTGGAGTGAGTGGTGTGTTGAAGTCTCCCAAAATGAATGCATTGCATTCTATTTCCTCCTTTAATTCTGTTAGTATTTGTTTCATATGTGCTGGTGCTCCTGTATTGGGTGCATATATATTTATAATGGTTATATCCTCTTGTTGGACTGAGCCCTTTATCATTATATAATGTCCTTCTTTATCTCTTGTTCCTTTCTTTGTTTTGAAGTCTATTTTGTCTGATACAACTGTAGCAACTCCTGCTTTTTTCTCCGTATTAGTTCCATGAAACATCTTTTTCCATCCCTTCACTTTTAGTATGTGTATGTCTTTGGGTTTGAAGTGGGTCTCTTGTAGGCAGCGTATAGATGGGTCTTGCTTTTTTATCCATTCTGTAACTCTATGTCTTTCGATTGGGGCATTCAGTTCATTTACATTTAGAGTAATTATCAATAGATATGTACTTATTGTCACTGCAGGCTTACCAAAGGTTCAAGGGCAGCTTCATTACTGTAACATTCTAACTTAACTCACATATTATGCTATTATAAATACAAACTGAAGATGCTTTTTTTTTCTCCTTTCTTTTTCTTCCTCCTCTACTCTTTATATGTTAGATGTCATATTCTGTACTCTTCATGTATCCCTTCACTGACTTTGTGGGGAGCTGATTTAATTTTGCATTTGGTTAGTATTTAATTGGTCTACTTCCTTTACTGTGGTTTTACTTTCTCTGTGACAGCTATTTAGCCTTAGTAAGACTTCCATGTAGAGAAGTCCCTTTAAAATACACTGTAGAGATGGTTTGTGGGAGGTAAATTCCCTCAACTTTTGCTTATCTGGGAATTCTTTAAAACCTCCTTCATATTTAAATGATAATCTTGCTTGGTAGAGTATTCTTGGTAAGAGGCCCTTCTGTTTAATTGCATTGAATATATCATGCCACTCCCTTCTGGCCTGTAAGGTTTCTGCTGAGAAGTCTGATGATAGCCTGATGGGTTTTCCTTTGTAGGTGACCTTTTTTCTCTCTCTGGCTGCCTTTAATACTCTGTTCTTGTTCTTGATCTTTGCCATTTTAATTATTATATGTCTTGGTGTTGTCTTCCTTGGGTCCCTTGTGTTGGGAGATCTGTGTACTTCCATGGCCTGAGAGATTATCTTCTTCCCCAGGTTGGGGATCTTTTCAGCAATTATTTTTTCAAAGACACTTTCTATCCCTTTTTCTCTCTTCTTCTTCTTCTGGTACCCCTATAATGTGAATATTTTTCTGTTTGGATTGGTCACACAGTTATTTTCATATTTTTTCATTCCTAGAAATGCTTTTTTTCTCTCTCTGCCTCAGCTTCTTTGTATTCTTGTTCTCTAATTTATATTCCATTTACTGTCTCCTCTACCTCATCTAATCTGCTGTTTTCACCCCCTGTAATCTCCAGAGCACCATGCAATGTGGGTTTGTGCCCCTGGAGTAGATTTCTAGGGCTGGGGATTTAGCCGTCCTGTGCTTCATCTGCCTTCACCCTCTGATTCTCTTCCTCCTTCCAGTGAGCTGAGGTGGGGGGAGTGCTCGGTTCCACCAGGTTGTGGCTTTTTTACATTATGCTTTTCCATGAGATGTTCTCTTCTCCCAGATGTAGAGTGGCTGGTGCTATCTTATTTCTGGTCACTTTCTTAGTAATAGTTGTATTTGGTGTATTTTCATAATATATTTGGTTTCAGGAGGAGATTTCTGCCTCACTTCTCACACCACTATCTTTTTTCCCTATCTAACATATCTTTTAAGAAATGTGTACAGAACATTTATAATCATGGCAGAAGCTATCTAAATTACTATAAATTTTTATTTTCTGCCATTGTCTGCATCCAAGACCAGCTGGGTTTGGAGTGTTTATTTGTGAATTAATACTTTGTAATTCAGAACAGATTGTAAATTCCTCCAGTGGACAGAGCTCAGCACAATGAATTCTTTAATTATAGAAAGTGGAAGCTTCTCATCTCCCCCAAGACCCAGCTCATGACCTTGTATGACCAGAAGTTAAATAAACATCAATTGAATTAATTTACAAAAGTACTATAAAGATATGTACAGCTCATAGCATAACTAAAATAGTATGCATTGCCAATTTGTTTAAGTAGGTAACAAATGGTATTGTCTATACAATAATTTTAAACTAAAAGGAAAAAAATCAGGTTAACAGTTCTTTTATACATCTTTAATTTAGGTGCTTAAGGAAAAGTACCACTGAGTTCTGTTGTCACATAATCATAGACAAGATTACTGTGTTCACTCTGGGCTGTTCTAAAAGGAAGGAGATATACATCCAACATTCAACAAAAGTTTCAAATCACTGAACTATTCTATTTCCATATTTTTCCCTTGAAATAATAATAGTAGGGTGTGACAGAGACTTTCATTCAACTTCCAGTATGTATGCAAAGCACAAAGATTTATGCAGTTCCATAGTCCCTAAAATGTAGTTCCTGCCACGACTAGCAGGGGGCACCCTAGGCAAGCACATCTTAATGGTAGAAAAGAAGAGAGGCCAGAGGTGCTTCCTCAGCCGCACGTTGTGAAGGGTTCCTACTGACACAATAACAACATAGTCAAGCCTCACTGCATGCCTTTTTTGCTAGAAATGTTACTAGAATACGGAAACGGGACTTATCAATTGAGAATTCAGCTCTAATCAGTTTGGCATATATGTATATGTATATATACACTGAAATTATCCTACACACAATCTTTCTTGAAACCAAATGAGAAGCAATATCTTTACAATTAAAAATTAAACCATATGATTTACATCTTATCTACCTAGAAAATAAACAGTATGATGGGTATAGTAAAGAATCCATTATCTTAATTTTGCAAGTCTTTACACAATATCATTAAAAAAAATTTTTATTATAGCAAAATATACATACCATAAAATTTACAATTTTTACCATTTTTGATTGCACAGTTCTGTGGTATTAAGTACATTCACATTGTTCTGCAACCATGACAACCATCTGTCTCCAGACTTTTTCATCTTCTCAGAGTGAAACTCTATTCCTGGTAAACACTAACTCCCCATTCCCCCTGGCACCACTGTTCTACTTTGTGTCTCTGTTGTTTGGGCACCTCATACAAGTAGAATCATACAGTTTTTTTCTTCTTGTGTCTGACTTACTTCACTTAACATAATATTCTCAAGGGTCATCTGTGTTGTATCTTGTGTCAGAGTCTCCTTCCTTTTTAAGGCTGAATAATATTTACTTGTATGTAGAGACCACATTTCCTTTACACATTCATCTGTGGATGGACACAGGGTTTCACAACCTTTAGGCTACTGTGAAAAATGCTGCAATGAACATAGGTGTCAAATATTTGTTCAAGTTACACGATATCATTTTTAACCTATAGTTTTAATGAAAAGTTTCAAATCACTGAACTATTATATTTCCATATTTTACCCTTGAAATACCCGTAGTACTGTGTGGCAAAGAGACTACAAGTATTATGAACTTTCACTTCTTTTATAATCAAGAAAAAAATAAATAAAAACTATTCTTGGGCTTCTCAGACAGAATAAAAAATAGAGAAAATATTTGAAGACTTTATAGAGTAATATTTCTCAATTTAAAAAATTAAGTCTATATAGCTACCACCTACTACACACATACTCCTCCAGAAGTTCTACAAGGGGGAAGATATTTTAGAAGCTTTAGTTTCTTTCTCCTTGAAATAACCTTAAATTCAGACCTCAACTGAACAGGTAAACTCTCCAGGGCAGACAGATTGCTAGCCAGAATAGGTCTAAGCTCTAACAAAGGCAAGGAACGCAAGCCGCTGCATGGAGTCTGACAGCAACCAGACTCCAGTGTAACCACAGTCCTTTAATAGATGCACCACTCCTAAAAGGAATTCCAAGATCATCTGCAGCTTTCAGAATGGTCAACGAAATTCGGTCAGCTAATATTCACAGGGCTTTGGGAACCCAAAAGCAAATCCAGAGTAGCCGGGAGGGCACACAGGGCCCTCTAACCTGAACGGAGACAGAAGACGGGATTCCGTGCTGCTCAGAGGCCCTCTGCAGCAGGCGTCCCTTCCTTGTACGCGACACAGCTCTGACCAGGAGCCAAGCCGGTCAGCCGCGCCCTAGCATCTCGTCACTAGGACCTGCGGGGATTCCTCTCCTGTTCCCTCAGGCAGGGCCAAGTCTCAAGTGCACTGAAACAAGTCTTTAAAAAAAAAAAAAAGAAACCCAGTGACTGCCGGCTAGTGGGAGTGCGTCTGATGGGAACCAGGCGCGCGGCCGCTATTTATAGCCGCCTGGTGGCTCTTCCGGGGCTCTCCGGCAGGCTATGGGAGGACCCCTGCCCGGCCGCCCCGGTCCGCCCCGCAGGCCGTCCGGAGCCCGCGTGCCTGACCCGGGAAACTCCGAGCCGGGGCCGCCCGAGGGCAGCGCGGGGAGCGCGCGCCTGGGGCGCCCCAGGAAGGGCAGGGCGGGGCCGCGCGGCGCCTGTTTCAAGAGCCCCGTCCCGCGAAAGTGCGCGGAGCCCGGAGCGGTCCTCTGGGGGCGCGGCTGCAGGTGGGAGTCGCCGGGGCGGTGGGGTCACACGCCGGGTAAGGGTGCGAGTGCAGGGTGGGTGCGCAGGATGTGGAGTGAGGGGCCGGGTCGTGGGTGCGCGGGATGGGCGCAGGTGCAAGGTGGCTCTGTGGGGCGCGTGCGGGCTCGGGGAGGCAGTGCGGGCGTAGGGCGTGGGGGCGCGAGGGCGGCGGCGGGGAGCCCGGGGCGTAGGCGCAGAGCGCCGTGCGGGCGCGCCGGGTCCGGGCCCGGGGGCGGGGGCCGGGGGCCTGTGCTCGGGGCGCCGCCCCGCGCGGGGACCTGGGGAAGGCGCGGGGGCGTGGCGCGCGGGCTGCGGCGCGGAGCGCGGTGCGCTGGGGCCGGATGGCCGCCTGGGCGGGGAGGCCGGGCCCTGGCGCGGGGCGCACGCGTTGAGTCCGCTGCAGGTGTGAAAGGAAGTGACCCTCTCGGAGTGGCCGAGAGCCCTGCGCTGGGCGGAGCGGGGTAAGCGCGGGCCGGGCCGGGCGGCAGGACGGCTGGGCGCGCCGGGAGCCCCTCAGTGTTCTGTTGGGAATCGCTGGGAACTGTGGGCGCCGCGCGGCTGGAGATCCGGGCTGAGAAACTTTCGGATTGACGTGTCGTTGCCCCTGGAGATGCCTGCAGAGCGCCGAGTGTCAGCGGGGTGGTGGCTTTTCTTGAAGGAGTGCCCGGCTGGGCAGTGGGGGTCGGGGTGGCGGCGGCGCCCGGGCTGGGGATTTAGGGCGGCCTCGCTGGGTCTGCGCAGTGCGGCTTTTGTTAGGAGCTGGGCCCGCTCGCCTGTTTCTTTTAAGAAACTTTTTAAAAGTTGTTTGTTTTTTTTAAGAAACATCCTGGCTATAAGTGCCACGACCTTATTTCGTGACCTGAATGCTCGTCGCGCTGTGGTTAAGTATAAAGAACGTGAGGAACAGCGGAGAAACACCTGTCCGCGTTCGGGCCACTCCGTCTTTAGGGTCTGGCTGACGGACACCGTGTTCTGCTGTCCCACTACGCTCTAGTGCACAGCGCTCCTCGTATGCGGATGAGTATTTCTGACGGGGACTTCGGAGACAAATGGATCACTCCAGTTCTTATTTCATTACGATATCGCGAAAATATGCCATTAAAAACGGCTGTATACAAACAGCGGGGATGTGAATTACGCTTTGGTTTTTATTACCTACGCATTCCAGATGATGATGTACTCTAGGTGCATCACTTCACTTGCCAGTCTATCAATGTGCTATGAAATATTTTGCAAAATAAACATTAAAAGATTAAAGAGGAAAAGGGAACTTTGTTTTCCAAAGGTCAGAGTATTCAAAGTAAACATCAGCTAATTTGGCACATATTCCACTGGCTCAGCAGTTTGACTGGTGTTGAGATAAGCATCTAAGAAGGGCAATGCACATGTTTCTGTAGTGTAAGGTAATTCACAAAAACTTTACCACTGTAACAAATTATACAATGCTATTTACCTTAACCGGGCTTAAACCTGTCTTACAGTAATGGCATGTAACAAAATGTCATTGTTTGCCCAATAAGAAAAAAAATTGACACCAGTTCCTTGAATGTTACTTACATTTCAAGTTGTGTTCACTTAACTAAAATAATTTTAACACTACACATTTGAAATTTTAAACTAATCATATGTGTTTATCACAGCCATTTATAAAGCCTCATGCATGTAAAGAATTTAAACTATAGTCTTTCAGATGATGACATGACTTGTTCATGTGCCTAACACAGAGAGAAACATTTTACCCTGTACAGAAAGCATGGTTCCCACGATCTCTGTATTAAGAAACAGCCAAAATCGGTAGCTGTGTTCATTGACAAGCCTCTTTCCCCTTCCACCCTGTCCTGCCATGGCCATTACCAGTACTATGTAGCATTTGTCATATTACATTTTGATCAGTTTTTTATAAGTCGGCCTCTCTCACAAGAGAGAATGAACCTTCTGGGGGAAAGACCTTATCGTAATTATTTGGATATCCTTAGTGGGTAGCACAGTGCCACACATGTAATAGCTATTTGATAAATGTTTACTAAATTAAAAGAGGAAAAATCCAATACATGTGACTACAACTAGTATACAGGGTCTCTGAAAACAGTATGTTTTTGCAATTTCAATATAATGCTTAAAGGCAGTAAAATAGTGATAAAGTTTAATCTTGACTTTCATTCTTACTGTGGTGGAAAATTCTTCATCATTAGGTTCTTCATATTTAGATTAGTATTCTACTGCTTGGTCTTTTAAATTTCTGCATCTTCAGAAGTATGGCTTATTAATGGTTGATGTGAACAGTTCCTGCACTCTTCCATTGTCTTTAATTTGAAGAATTAGTGGTTTGCTTTAAATTTTCTGTTAAACTAATGATGCTAAACATAAAAATCACTTAATTTTTTCATCCATAAACCTCATTCTCTTCATGAATTACTGCTTGTTTTTGATGAAACTCTGTTTCCTAGTTAGCTTTAAAATGAATGAGAGATTTTTGGTTATGTACTAATAGAGGTAGATTTGAATAAGGAAACTGAAACTACTGTAGAAATTACTTCTTCAAAAATAGAAAACATTTTAACAGAGGTAATTTGTGTCAGTAATAGAAATGAAATAATGAAATACCATAATTGTAAGGCTGAGAGGTTTTGTTCACTAAGGAAGAGTAAAAATAATATCTGAACTTGTTTTAAAATGAGAATTCCAATTTATGTGAGGAAGTAACTGGACTGTTAGCATATCAATAATATTTAACAATATTAGACACTGGGGACTGGAAGAAAGGGCAAAAGCTTTAAATGTGCTCTAACCCATGTTTCTAAACATTGATTTAAAGTGTGGTAGAGAGCTGTAACTCAAAAGGCAACTGTTGTAATCTGAAGACTCTGCCTGGTGCATGACCCCATGGGATCACGTGGGAGGGGAAGGCTCCCTGCACCTGAAATCCAGTCAGGGATTTTTGTGGTGGCTTCAGCACTGTGTGCTGTGTGACCTTAGGCAAATCGCAGTACCCTGTCTGGGCCTTCATTTCCTGATCTGTAAAATGAGAGGATCAACTAGACCACTGCTAAGGTTCTTCTAACTCTTAAATGCTAATATTCCATATTTCCTCCATGGATAATGAGTGTGATTCCTGAATGATGTAATTTGGCTTTTCATGGCTTTTAACTGAGCATGCTGTATTTATGAAGTCAGCGCTTGGTATACCATCCAGAGCCTGGCCCTGTGTTTGGGGCACGCTGAGAGCCTGTTCAGAGAACTGGGCTCAAAAGCTCCCCTATCTTTTTCTTTATTGTTATTGACCCTTAAGAAAGAGTACTGGTAAATTCTATCTTACTTTAAAAGTGGTGCTGTTTTTTTCATTAGTCCATTTTTAAAACTTTGAGAACTAATGCTGAAGTACATTAAAATTAACACATAACTAACATGTCTAAATAAAATGTTTGAATAAGTGAAAAATTCTAATGGTATTCTAGGGTCTTTCACAGAAGTCATTGTAATTTAATAGAATGTAAAAGAAACAAGAATATGCCACAGGGTAATGGAGCAGGGATGATATTTGGAGGGTTTAAAAAGGAAGCCCAACACGCAATGAACAGGATTAGAAGGTAGTCATGTTTCTAATTATGCTCCAGACTATCTACATTTTTGTCCATTAAACAGAAGCTATTGATTTTCTAACTCTGTTATTTTCTAGTTCTAATTGATTTTCTAGTTCTAATATGAGAACTCTAATTGTGGAAATGGTGATTTAATACTGATTTCTGGAGGGAGTATTTTACTCAAGTATGTCAAGAAGAAATATGTGGACAAAAAGTTAAGTGTATTTTTAACTTTGCCATTCTCAAATATAAAACATTGAAGACATTTATCTTAAACTAACAGTTGCTTAAATTGGTCCAACTTAAAATTAGCTCTCACTAAGCTTTTACGTTACAGGTCAAACACAAAAGAAAATGTAATAGGTTCTTCCCTTTGATGAAAATTGAAGTGTTAACCATATTTGCCTTAGCCAAATAAAGACTTAAGAGCATATGACTTTTCAGATATTCACAACTTTAAATGATATAAGTGATTTCAATATTAACTTAAAAATATGAAGATAATATAATACATGAGTAGCAGGCACTATTATAAGTGTTTTCCATACATTCTTATTTAATAAATAAAATAGGTAGATTAAAAATATAATTTAAAAACAATTTCATATTTCTGGAGATTTAGTCTCTGACAATAAAAATATATAATCCTAGCAGTACTTTAGAATTATAAATAAAGAAGTTGGAAAATTATTGTTTTATAATTTAATTAAATCATTTGGCAATGGTTGACAGTGGTGTTTCCTGCCAGAGCATTGGATTATTGAAAAGTTAAGTAGTACAACCCATCCAGTGAAAATTAGAGAAGGAAAGCTCTGTGGCTATACACTACTACATAATTTTAAGATAAGGATACCCTTAAATGGTATATGTGTATTTATAATAATACTAACAAATACTAAAATATGCATTATCTAGTAAATATATTTATAAGAATTTCTTATAGATTTATTCTATATACCAAGAATACAGCATACATGATAAGACATGGGAAAAAGTAAAATAAACTCTCATTTTTTTTACAGCATATCAAAGTTAGACCTTTAATAAAAGAAAAACTTTTAGCAACAGTAATATTTTTAAAGTCTCAAATACGCAATATTTGGAACCAAAGGACTCTAACGACGAATGGCATAGTTTCAATATCATAAGAAAATACCATGAATAATTTTATGCCAATAAATTTGAAATGAAAGAAATGGAGAATTTTCTAAAAGATATAAATGATCAAAACTGACAAGAAATAGCATATCTACTGACATCAATAATAGTTAATAATAGAATTTATAATCTGTCTTCCTCCTAACTCCCTAAAAAAAAGACATTAGTCCCAATCGCTTCTATAATCCTATTTTTTTATTAAGGTATCATTGACATACACTCTTATGAAGATTTCACATAAA